GTTTAGCCATCAAGCATAGGAATAAAATCCCCAGGGAAACTTACTATTAATGCTAACCCATTAGTTCTAGCTCGAAGTTTGCCCTTAGTTGTCTCGAAGTTACCTACGAGAAATAGAGATTGAGTTAATATGCTCTTCATGAAGAAGTTTATATTTGCATGAGACTGTCATTGACATGTTCGAATCTTATCCATTGATATATGCTTCATCATGTTATATCGAAAGAAATTTTTGGAATTCCGTCTATTTAGGTGATTACATCCGTCAAAGTTTCGAATTATGTGCGGTCTTTATCCATTAAGAATGACCCTTTGTAAGTATTTAACAATTAACAGGGTCCAACATAAAACCAAAGATAATTGTTATCTTAATGCTTCAGAAGACGGCAGGAAAAGTAACCCAGTTGATCGTATAATACGTTGAAGAAAACGATTTATCTTTGTTTACGAGTGCAGGCAATCAATTCCCTTTTTTTTTTTTTTTTAACTTTTTTGATACGGGGAAATCATGTAATGAGCAACAATACAATAGAAACAGTGAAACCACAAAGAAAATCATGCAGTATTTTCCACGTAAACATATTCTCTGTATAGTTGTGTGTGTGTCTATATATATATATATAGTAGTTACTTAGAGATCAGAAATGTGATGCCGGTGGAAATCTTTGAAGATTGATCAATCCAAACAAAAGTCAGAACAAGTCCGGCGCGACAACCTGGTGATGTCCAGTGCTAGATATTCTTGGCAGAGAGAATTTGATCTGTCTCAGTATTTGCCTCCGCTAGATGTTCTTTCATGTGCATTTTTTGTTCTCCCGAAAAAAAGAATAATGGGGAAAGGATTTGGTTTAATAGTAGTTGCTTCAGTTTTTAAACAATGCTTGAGTATAAAAGGTTGTGAGGCTGAAAATCTCTAAAAAATAAACATTAAACATATTCATATTTTAGAAATTTTGGTTATTTACATTCTAACTATTATTTTACAAGATTTCAAAATTAGATCTCTGTTTCACAAATTAGAGAAGTTAAAAAAAGAGAGAGAGAGAAAATCTCGATCCATTATGTTTAATTTTTATAACTCAGACATCATTAGCTACTACAAGCAGGAGTGTTGTTTTTTTTTTTTGATAATGAAACTTCATTAAAGTAAATCTGCTTTTGCAGCATACATAATCTCCTTTGGGAAGTTTACAAACCAGACGCGGCTTCTCTCAAGTGACAGAGACAAATGAGACAATAAATGAATAGGAACATTGTTCTTCCTTCTTACATGCGAAATCCGTATGTAACAAAAATCCTTCCGCGTATCTCTAATGCCTCTGATCAAGTTACCTAACACCGATAAGTCAAGACTTGTACTATTGATTCTTTGGACAATACCCAAGGCATCCCCTTCTAGAGTGAGATGAGAAATACCAAAATCTTTGGCAAACTGTAAAGCTTTAAGAAAAGCCAAGCATTCCACATGCTCTGCATTAAGGGCCTCTGAAACTCTTTCAGCCATTAAAGCTTCCACTTGTCCTTGATGGTCTCTCACCACAACTCCAATTCCAGCCCCAGTATCAGAGAAGGCTCCGTCAGCATTTATTTTCAAAATACCTTCTTCAGGAGCTACCCACTTGGTCGAACTATCAGTCTTTGGTAACTCAGCTTTGCAATGTAAATTCCAATATTCCTGCAAGAACTCTATTGCATATTCACCAACTCTGAGTGCCTCCCTTACTTTTTCCGTCAAAATCCCTCTCATCCCTACATCTCCAAATTAGCCAAGTAAGTACTGCTGCTAACTGTGCCTCTTGCTTTCCTTGTGAATTCATAACCCAACCAAACCATTCCTTGAAATTTGGGGCACAAGAGTTCTCTAACAACTTCTGTTTGTCAAGTCCTTACCACACATCTTGGGCAAACTCACACTCAAAAAATATGTGTTTATCAGTTTCTACTTCACACCCACAACACCTGCAATTTTGATTTTCACATCGTATTCTAGCGCTTAAATTATGACCAGTGGGTAAAATACCTGAGCATGCCCTCCATATGAACACCCTGACTTTTGGAGGAATATTTAGATGCCACAATCCATTCCAAAAGTTCTTTTCCTTACTACTCGATGATGATCCCTCTTCACAGTTTCCCTGATTTTTAGAGCTTCTTGCCAAATAATATGCTGATTTAACATCAAACATGTCATTCCTTGAATAATGCCATACTATCTCATCATGTGGCCAGCATGCTGACAGAGGAATTTTCTTAATCAACTCCGCTTCATGTTTCAGAAACAAGGCATTAAGGAGGTGCATTTTCCATCTTCCAGATTCATAATCAATGAGATTCCTTACTCTTGCCTCTGGCCATAAATGCTTTGAATGCTGAGCTACTCTGAATGATGTTGGAACTGGTATCCATGGATCGTCCCAAATGTGAATCGCATCATCATTTCCTACTCTCCATAAAATTCCTTTATTAAGCAGCTTCCTTCCCTCCAAGATGCTTTTCCATGAGTAGGAAGAATTTGACCCAATCTTCGCTGAGAGAAACTCGGTTTTAGCAAAGTACTTTGCCTTTAGAACTCTCAAGCAGGAGTGTTGTTAAACTGTCTAGTCAGAGCATTGACACAGTAGCTAAGAAACCAAATTCAATGAAATTTGACAAAATGAGATTACCGATGAAATGAACAAGAATTGCGGAATGTAGAAATCCTCAAAGGAATTGACAAAATCATTTGCTTCCAATTCAATGCTAGTTTATTCATACTATCGAGCTGGAATTACGTACACAGACTAATAATCATTAACCAATCCAACCCAACCCAAACCCAAACCCATAGGAGCTACTATTTGATTTCCCAACCAAACAAAAAAAAAATGGAGGTTCTGTTGGTACTTCGTAACCCTCACGTGCAACCCTTCTGGTGCTTCGACTCTTGGGAAATATTGAATCCTTTTTTCTCCTATCGCATTTTACCTGTAATAGTCTTTTTTATGCATCCCCTATCGCATTTTACCTGTAATGAGGAATAAGTGAGCTGATAATTAAAATGTACAATTACTTAAAGTATATACAAACCTGAAAATTTTTCTAATTAGGCGTAAGTTTGTGATCTATAAAACCAGCTCTACCTAATATTAGTATAATTTTCTTATTAGGCATAAGTTTCTAAATATTTTTGGGCAAATGGCCAATTTAGTCCTTTAACCTTTTAACTTAAGGCGATTTCATCCTTCATATTTTATTTAGGTAATTTTAGTCTTTTAACTTAAAATTAGCAGCCAATTTCATCCTTTTGCAGTGGCGCCACTAGTAAAACTTTTTCCGGCACAAAAATCACCCATCAAGTCAAGGGCAATATAGGAATTACAAAATAGGGATCATTTTTAAAACAATGAATACAAAATATTTTCTGTTACATTGGTGAGAAAACCAATTCTCCATTAGTTTGGGGAGTAAAACAAAAAGTGCAATAAACCAATTTATTCTTTTTCTCCACCTCTGGCTGATGACGATGGAATTTCAAAACCAAATCTCCAAAGCCCAACTCAAAGTTTCTGAGTCATTTATTTTTTGGAACCCCAATACAAGCCCATTCATCAAGACTCATTTACGGGGGCTATGCAGCAAGAGGGATGGATAAGGATGTAAAGAAGTGGAAGAAAAAGTTTGAATTGTAAGCCGAAAGTTCAAAAAGAGAAAATGCAATTTGAAATGATGATTTAAGGAAGCTATTTCCCAAACTCTGATGCGACGATGATGAGGTAACTATCAATAAGGGAATGCTTAGAAAATAGCTAATCCATTTGCTAATTTGAATACTATTCTTGGGTTTATCACGAAAATTTTATATGTTAGTAAATTTTAATTGTAGGTTAAAATTACAAGACATATGATGATGTAAAAAATAATGTTGACGAAGGTTTTAAAGGAAAAAAAAAGACATATTTCTTTGGAAGTTAGGCAAGAGCTAGCCGAAGAAGAAGAAGAATCAGAGATGCATTTACTCATTGAAAAAGATGAAGTGTTTTCAGGTTTACCCCATAGCATTTTCTGATTTTTTGTTTTGATCATTAACTTGTAGTTCTTATATTGTCCTTAGTTTGGCGGCGATTCTTGTTTCAAAGAGTAGTACCGCTGCAAAAGGATGAAATTGGCTACTAAATTTAAGTTGAAGGACTAAAATCATCTAAATAAAAAATGAAAGATGAAATTGATTTAAGTAAAAAAGTTTGAGGATTAAATTGGCCATTTTCCCCATTTTGGACGACTTTTATGCATAGTTAGAAAGCGCTGCCGCCACGCAGCGTTTAAGTGAATGACAACGTGCTTTGCAATCGTTATCTATTTGAAGCGAGACTCCGGCTGAACCGGCTCGCCAGAGCATTCACGACCCCTTTCCCACGTAAAAGATACTCTGGTGCTAGCTTTCTTGTCCCAAAATTCAACCAGCAGCTACAGCAGCCGAAACCGTCACTCTCAAGACTTGAGGGAACTCAAGGAAGAGGGGAGATATTGACGAAAAGCTACAAATTAGTGTTACTGTAGTTACAAAGATTTGATTTTTGTGGAAAAGAAAAATAGTAAAAGCAAGGAAAGATGGCGTAGTCTGATGCAGTTTATTCTGACTGTTTGCTAATTGAAGTCAGGATCACCTAAAAAAGACAGAAGACAAAGCTAATTGTGATGCAAGTGACTGGAGGAAGTCATGTGTTAAACTATAGTTAGTCTTACCAGTTTGTTAGTCCCAACTTTACCATTATAAATGAAGTAGCTCGTTTTTCTCTCATCTTTGCCGCAATTCAGGCAGTCTTGAGCTGGACCATTGGGATAGTTGTCTTTGTGCTTATAGTTGTGTTTTTCCTTCACAAGCCCTAGGTGGGGAAAAAATGAGAAGGAAATATACAGTAGAATAAAGAGATTCTTATGGCAGCTTGCATCGAACTACCCCTTCCTCTGGTGGATTAGAGTAATCATACTCTGCTGGATAACAGATAAGCTGACTAAATCTCAATGGAATGGTTTTTCTTCTGGGACTGCAATTTCGTGTCCCCATCAAGCATTAAGCTCAATAAGCATTTCAATATGAGCAGTGAAGTTTGATATGGTTTGAAAGTCTCCATTTGGATTATGTTTGTTGTATATTTTGCTGGGTGACTTAGAAGGTTACTTATTTTGGTTTGGGACGAGTAAGTTAATAACTGGGATGTCATCCACCAGACTACTTTCTAGTCCTTAAAAGTAGTTGATGCATCAATCCCAATACTCTTGTTGCATTTACCCTTCAACGTTGGGCTGATACAATTTTGCACAAAGAATGTGCAGATCCATGAACACTAGACTACTAACCATCCTAGCAAGCTGTATTGTTAACCAACCACTTTTTAACTCCCAAGTTTTCAACCTTCTTTTCAAGGAACCAAGCTCTCCACAATTTGTTTTCTTTTCTTGTCTCCTTGTATCACTCTTTGCATGTATTCTTCATTTTGACATTTTTTGTTCTGCATTACCAGGTATATGATGTGTCATCCTATTTGAATGAGCATCCTGGTGGAGATGATGTTTTAATCGCTGCAACTGGTATGAAACCTAAGGCCTGCAGTTTCTCACATCTTTCAGCAGTGCTTTCAAATTGGATCTTTTTACATGTGATAAATTGCCATGTGTGCTGTATGGAAATTATATCTTTAACTTGGCATGATGAGCATTTGTTATTTGTGAAGGGAAAGATGCCACTGACGAGTTTGAGGATGCTGGGCATAGCAAAAGTGCCAGGGAACTCATGGAGAAATTCTGCATTGGGGAGCTAGACGAATCTTCCCTGGCAATCCCTGAACTTGAAATTGTTCGAGCAAAGCAAGCTGCTGACACCTCAAAGAAGATTGTGGAGTTTACTAAGCGATACTGGGTTGTTCCAGTAGCTGTTGCAGGCATATCTGCGGTTGTTGGCTTTCTATACTTGAGAAAGAAGTGATCCAATTTGCATCTCATCCCCTGCAAGCTTATAACAGCTCGAACCTTTTAAACCATAGTAAAGAGTAGTTTCTGGCAGGAAGAGGGGAGGGTGGGGGGAAGGAAGGAAGAGGTTGAAAGATCAAACATTTGATTGAGCATTTTTTGTGATTCATTTGTTGCACCTCCAAGCAGAACTGACTACTGCAGTGATACCTTCTTATAGGTTGGCGGAGGATCTTTAAAGCCAGATGAGCTTGCAATTTCGATTCAGTTTGTCTTTCTTATATCTTTTACTTCTTCTGGTATTGAAGAGTCACTCAACAATCTGAACTTCCATGGCAGCTATAGTCGGTGAGTCATAACAAATTAGTACTTATTAACTATAGTATAGTCGGTGACATCTTCATCTTGTTGCTGAAGTACTAAAAAAGTCAAAATCCCAACAACAAAATATTTTACAACTTATGAATGACTATTGTTTGAGTTGGAAATCATGCTTGATATACATTGAGTTGTTGTGGTTGACCATATATACCAAACTATTAATGAAAAGAAGAAATTAAAATGAAAAATTTTAGGCAAAACAGATTTTAAGCTGTCGTTATTCTCAAAAAACGATTCGAGAATCAAATAAATCAAAACAAAAATTAGTCTTAATTAATATTTCAAAACTTGATATACAAAAAAATTAAAACTTATGTACTACAATAAATAAAACAAACATATATACCATACCATATACTGTAGATTTACTTGTTTTAATTTACAAAAAAATTGTTTGGCTTAAGTAATAATCAAATCAAAGTTTTGTCTGAATTTTGACTTGAATAGTAATCTATCCAAATCACCATCATAACTTTTTTTTCAGAAAAAAAAAAAAACTCCGTAAAACAATTTGTTACTTACAGAAATATTAGTAATAAAATTTACTATTAAGGTAGTACTAAAATACTAGTATAAATAACCGCGGAGACTAGAAATGGAATTTGCAGCCGGAGAGACGATTTGTCGGAGGTCTCACTGACTCAACCATGAACCAGGCAGTGCAGAAGAACACCCTTTACGTCGGAGGATTGGCGGAGGAAGTTAACGAATCCATCCTCCACTCCGCTTTCATTCCCTTCGGTGACATTAAAGACGTTAAGACGCCGTTAGATCAAGCGACCCAAAAGCACCGCTCTTTCGGCTTCGTTACTTTCCTCGAGAGAGAAGATGCCGCCGCCGCAATGGATAATATGGACGGAGCTGAACTTTACGGCCGTGTTCTTACCGTCAATTACGCCCTCCCCGAACGTATTAAGGGTGGTGAACAGGGTTGGGCCGCCCAGCCCAGTAAGCTCTTTTCCCTATTTCTTTTCCCTGATTTTGGTTTTATCTTCTTTTGTGTATATTTTTAAAGTATTTTTGTTTTATGATGGGATTTTGTGGTTGTTTTAATTTCTAAAGTATCGTGGGACTGTATGGTTTTATTGGGAAAATTAAACCTGAGAGAAAATGAAACTGAGATTTTGACCTGTAAAATCTTTCTTAACAGTTTGGTATTTGGATCATTGGATGATGTGTTAGAATAGAGTGCCTTGTGGAATAAACCGTCAATGCTGGCTGATTCAGCGTGTAAGAGCCGAAATTGCATGTTTTCATACAACCACATCAAGATTTTTAAGAGGGATGAGAAGAACAGATATGCTGTGTTGATTCTAAAATTCATTTTTGCTATTCAGAAAGCAAGCTGCTAAGTGGTCATAATCATATCCAAAATTTCTTCAACTATTATTAGGGTTACAAAACTGTTGTCCATTGGCTGTATCCTTTTTCTCCTTGACACCCTGCATAAAAGTTACAAACTGTTCGGTGTATCTTTTTTCCCTATGTCTTCCTGCCTAAAATTATAAACGGTTAGATGCATTATAAGTTAATTTAAAAGACCCATGTTTAACACCTAATTGACTCAGGATGAACTAGCCATTCCCCAGAATGACAGGAAATTATTATGCTGCAAAAAGGAACTTGTAGCATATTCTTGTATTGTCAGTCCAGTTTGCCGTTGTAAGATCAGATGGCTTCTGGATCAGGGAAGGCCAACTTTACTCATATCGTCAAGACAACTTAGCTAAAGTTCGATTACGAATGTGAAATAGGGTGACTAACCAGGCAGCAGCAGTTACTCTAATTCTTATTGGTAGTATATCTTTTACACAGTAAATTAGAGTGAGCCAAGAACGTACATCCATTCAAAGTGGAAGAAAGGGTACTTTCAATTTATATTTGGTTGTAGGAAATGAAATGAACAGCAGGGTAATGACATAAAATGATCAACTAAGATCTCATGTCTATGTAGCTAATCATTTACCCATCCCTTTGATGAGATAGTGAAAAGCTTGACTCAAGATGATGGTTCTTGAACTGTGATAATTTTGGTAAGGGACACCTTCCATTCTAAAGAAAACTCATTTTGTTGTGTTAAGAGTGAGTTCTAAATGCAATTTCATTCTGTACTTTGTATTTTTTGCGAGTTCATGGCTTGATTTTGAACTAATCGGATTTTAGCTAGGATAGATTATCGAGGAGATTACTATTGGTGCCCAGGACCTAACATCTATTCTGCTTTTCTTATTTGCAGTTTGGGCGGATGCTGACACATGGTTCGAAAGACAGCAGCAGGAAGAGGAAATGCAGAGGCTTCAAGCAGAGCATCGAGCTGCAATGCAGGCTGCAGAAGAATTACACAGGAAAAAGATGGTTGATGAGCGAGAAGGTGAGAAGGAAGAAGAGACAGATATTGTGAATGATCCCATGCGGAAAGCTGAAGAGGAGGCTTTGATGCAGAATAGTTAGTTTCCATGAAGAACACGGATACCGTAGCTTAAGCAGTTATATATAGAGGGGAGAATGTTTAGGCTTGGGGTCGGTGAGAATTATTGCATCCTAACAACTTGATGCTTTGTAGTTGCTAAACTTTGTCTTGGGAACTGGAGAATGAATACTTATTTCAGCACGCCTGTTTGTAGGGATGGCAATGAGGAGGGTAAAGCCTGATATCTGCGATACATATCCTATTGTTAATCCAGATTGCTGAGTTATCCGTTGTGGTTTAGTATTAATGAGGGCTTATCGATAGGTAACTCAATAGGATTTTAGTAAAGGATCTTAAAAACTTGATACCATATATATATATATAATTTATATAGTCCAATAACACATCTCAATTTTATAGTACAATAACATGTAACTGTAAGCCAACTCGTTACACAATGCCCAACCTGATTGTTCTCTTTAGTTTGTATTTTGTTCTTCATACTTGTCTTCTGAAGTGTTCTTTGTCAAGTTTTATCTAAAACTCATTGTTTGAAAATGTTCTTGAAAACAATTGTCAATATCTTTTTTTGGATATTTGCTGAAATTGTTAACAGTCAGGCATGATTTAACTAAGAGTATCAAATGGAGAGATTAAAAATGGAAGAATGTCAATTGAATCCATAGCTAAAAGTCTCAAACGGGAAAGATTAAAATGGAAGGATGTCAATTTAACCCTTTATAAAATAATGAAATTTTCACATGTAGATTCCATGGCTCTATCCAAATTTAGGATTCAATATAGTGTGTTGATTAATTATCATGTATAAATTAAGTTTAGTTTGATAAAAAGTTAATTTTTTTGAATAATTCAGATTAGCAAATAGAGAGTACTCGACGAGTAATCCCAACTCCTGCACAAGAGTGCCTGCATTGTTAGGAACTTTGCCATCAGTGACACCAACAGTGGATGCAAGTGAATTCCTGCGTATGACAACCAGGCCATCTTATTTACAGTTTTGCCGGTAAGAACTAATTGTCCAGAAAACTAATTAGATGAAGAATTTTGATATTCAAGAACAGAAGGAAATGCAAGAGTTTATATACATAGACGGATATGAATCACTTCGTGTTGTTTAAGGACCAAATGCGTAACTTTGTGATCAATTTAACCAGAGGAGAAAAATATAGTGAGAGCGGACAAAATTTTCATCTGTACTATATATAGAAAATAGGCAGATAATGGCGACTAGAAGCAATCTAAGAAACGAAATCAGCTACAGAAGGAACTGGGCGTAATTCTTAAATCAGCACCTAACTGAATGAAGAAATTTTAAGTATGCCTGAATCTGCGAAGATCAAGTTTATACCATGGAAGCTCTTTACGACTGGCCTCCGGTGAAAAGAGGAAAACTTGAGATAACTTCCTCGAGAGCCAGAAATGAAGTAGCTGCAAATCCAAATATTTGAAACAAATCTACCTTCTCCTCAGCAGAATTGCATCACAGAGCTTGGCAGCGTCTAAATTATCTTTTACATTGTGAACTCTCACAATATTAGCACCACCTAAGATTCCAGTAGTCACAGAGGCAACAGTTGCTGGATCTCTATCCGCTGCAGTAGAATGAGCACAGATTTCGCCCAGGAATCTCTTCCTAGATGGTCCAATCAGCATTGGAACATGTGATACAGCTAGGCTTGTTTTAGCAATCTCACTTCGAATGGTTGGCAAACCCATGAGAATGTCCAGATTATGTTCAGTCTTCTTGGAGAACCCAATTCCAGGGTCAATAACGATCCTCCAAGCAGGAATACCTGATAACTCAGCATCTCTAACTCGAGTATATAGCTCTGATGCAACCTCTTTACAGACATCACTGTATTGCAAATTTCCACTATTCTGCATTGTAGATGGATCGCCTCTCATGTGCATTGCCACATAGGGAACTTTGAGGGCAGCAACAACATTATGCATGCCGGGGTCCAACTGTCCACCAGATACATCGTTCACCATGTGAGCCCCCTTATCCACTGCTTCTGAAGCAACCTGTGAATAAAAAGTATCCACAGACAAAAGCTTGCCTTCCACCTCCGGCATTTGTCTAACAGCTTCAAGCACAGGGAGCAATCTATCCAACTCTTCCTCAGGCGAAATCCTAGAAGCCATTGGACGTGTAGATTGTGCACCAAAATCAATTATATCCACCCCCTCTGCCACCATCAAACGAACCTGAGAAACTGCAGCCTCAACAGATGGGTAGTTTCCTCCATCACTAAAACTATCTGGAGTCAAATTAAGAATACCCATAACAGAAGTTCTCTTGGACCAGTCCCACAACTGATTTCCAATTGGCAAAACCCTTTTCATCCCATCTTTCCCAATAAGAGATTCACCACCAAGATTCTTCCATGACTCAAAAAGTCCACCAGGATGGTTTGCAAATGAATGCCA